TTGGGGGTTCGACTGATATGACGAACTTCTTTGATCCCCCACAGCACGACCGTATTTTTATCAAATAAGATGAGTCTATTACTACTGTCAGTTTAAGTATTATTATTGTTATATGGCGTTTACCTCTTTGAAGCAAGTTACCAAAAGGACGACTGGCCCCTATCGATTTCTTCGAAGGCTCAGTTCATAACCACAGTAACTTCACTTTCACGTTATGTAACACAAAGGGAACTACGAAGTACAGTCTCTGGAAGGTTTAAAAATTGAATATATCTCCTTGTCACGTCTTAAAAGGGTAAAATAAAGCGTTCTAACAAGCTTTTACAAAATTCAAGGTTGAACTAATTGGCTATAGACTAGGGGTTTTTCTAAAGCTTTATGCGCTTCTGTGATTAACTCCGAGAAATGCTACCCTCTACTGGTTTTACCTTGCTGCAGTCAAAGGAGATGAAGAGTTCTTTAAAAGAATATTAGAAGGAGATAAACGTATTCTTTATTCATGTTAAAAACAGAGGTGTCATGCAAATCACTGAAAGTTTTTTCACACCATTTTATTGCACTTTTAATTTGGCGCGAGTTTCGTTCATCGCTGTTTGTTATTGATTTTTCTGTGAGTCAAAAGTAGTTATCTTTTTATTTATGAGATAGAATGTATGGCGTTATTAAATTAGTTTTGAGTTAGAAATATTAGAATTTTTGTTGCTGCATTTAAGACTATATTTAAAATCATTTGAAAATACTTGTAACAAAAAGAGTTTTACATACACTGTCAGTTTCAGTTAATTAGAAGAAATTTGATGTATATTGTGATGTTTCACAGTGTACTCAGAAGTTAACCTCCGGCTTTACTCGTTCATTTGAGTGACTCCTTTTGAAGAAATACCATCATATAGAGTTACTTCAGTGACTATCAACGTTGCTAGAGACACTGGTGTACACTTAAGGATCTTTTTTCGATGAAAGGTTTATTCCACAGTTTCTTACCATGACTCGTAGTCTGACGATGCTCTTGATGTACTTTTGATGTCCACACAAGTGCTTTTATTCAGTAACTGGCAATCACCTGAAACTTGAGTTTCAGGTTTTGAAAATAGAATGTCAGGTGTTTAGGTTTTTGTTGAATTTCGTGTTTGTATTCGGATTAGTAAATAAACTAAGCTTTGACCGTAGGTGATATCTAATATACACCTCCACTACCCCGTGCCAAAAATGGGTCACTAGCCGAAGACAGTTATGCTGTAGTTTTTGAACTCTAAGATGTTCTTGGCATGTTGTCAGTTTCAAAGAGAAAAATATAGAATAGAATTGCCTCAAGACGGCCTAATTAAGGGTAGTGTAGGTTGATGTTAATTTCTGTGTCATCAGTGAAGATACAGCAAGTAACATAGTAGAAGTTTTGTTGAGAGCCTTCAGGGTTGTTTAACCGTTTGAATTATTACTTCTTGAACTCGTCTTGACTCTATAGTTCCATAGAAAAATATGACGGTGTAGTTAACATTGAGCAATATTAGAAAGACAGCTGCAGTAAAAGAAATTTTCTTTTTGCCGAAGTCATCAAGTAAACTGAATGTTCGTGTATTTATTGTAAATGGGTAAGAAAGTTCCAGAACTATTTCCGATCAAGCGTCGAATTAGTAAAATTACTGTGTAATAAACAGAAAGACTGGATTTAAAAAGCATAGTAGGTTCGTTTTCACTGAGAAATTAGGGATTAAAAACGGATACACTAAGCTTATTATTACCTTCGCTTTAGTGGCAGTTCTCTAAAATTTGTCATCTCTAATATGAGAAATGTTTTGCTGAAAATCGGCTACTGCCCAAAAATTTTTACTAGAGTTTTGCTTACTTATTGTAACTGGGCAGAATTTGTCTGATCGTGTGAACTCCTGTATTTAGGACTGGTGTTGACTTTCATCCACTGTCTTTCCCGTTCAAATTCTGCATTGTCTAATTTGGCACACGCTTGACAGTCTGTTTGACGTACTTCAGATGTTCATGAGTGTGTAGATAAAGGTTATGAACAACATGTAATAATCACTGGCCACTTTTTTCAAGTTGGTTTTGGTCGAATCAAGTAGATTTCATTGGTGTCCTTTGTTTATGAGTTTATTCGTTGATGCCAAATGCCATTGATGAACATGAGGTATGGGCATTAATTTTCGTTATGCATATTTTAATACCGTTGCTTAAGTGATTCTAACACTAGTTATGAATCATGAATCTTTAAAAGCAAATGAACTCGCTAGTTGTGTGATGAATACCCACCCACCACTCACTCGAAAGCTTAGCTATATTTGGCCTCAGCTTAAAAAATGGTCCTATTCTGAGTAGACTAAAAGTTTAATCCATAGTCTGTTTGCCATACCAACATAGGATAATCGAAGTTGTTTGTCTCGAAATAGCAAGAATCACTTGTTGCAGATCCTTAGTAACGCGGCCGTAAATTGTTCACTGTGTCTCAGACGCATTTACCATTTATCACTAATCTTTCGAAAGATTTTGCTAAACTTTATTATATTGTTCCCTTTTTATGCCTTTTTCGGTTACCGAAATATTATCCTTTCTTAACTCGCCCTCGTTTATGCTGTTTTAGTGAGTTGAATTCGCGTGAAGCTATCTCATCATAGCATAATTTTATTAGATAAAAACATGGACACAATATGAGGTTTTGAGCACAACCTATTGTTCGTGATCGCTTACTCTACCATAGTTCCGTAATTCTATTCTTATATCAGTGAATTGGCTTCATTTTATTCACGTGTCTGCGATACCCTGCACAAATCTCTAGTGTACAGTTTTCGAGGACCTATTTTTCAGTAGCATACAAAACAAAATGTGTGTGTGCATGAGCATCAATAAATGTGCTACAAAAACCAACATAAACACTATAAATTTTGATAGTTTTATTAGAAGAGGAAGCTTATCTGAAAAATGTGATGTATTTGCGCAATACATCACATTTTTCAGATAATCTCTGTCTCCCAACAACTTTATCAGAATTTATGGAAAGGACTGTTTTAAATTTATAAACATTATAAACAGAACATAAAATATAGGTAGGAATAGCAAAATTATAATGTAAAGATCCAAAAATACGTTTGTTACTCAGTTTGGCTTCCAATAAAAACAAGAACTTCCACATGAATTCCATTGATTTCGACGCCAAGCTAATTTTGAAAAACCTTCGAGTCACTGATATGCATTGTTTCGCAAACTCCATGGGGCTTGTAGTCTATCAGCGCTGAACCTCATAATTAACTACGTGTTATCATTAGTGAATTCTAACATTTCTATTAAGACAGCAACGATTGAGTTCACTGAGTAGACCAGCCCAGAGGTGTTAAACTTCACAAATGGAGAATGGAACTGTAAGTGCCAAAGAGCTGTTAGCTTGTCCTTTAATAGTCTGAGTAAAATCATGAATACGCCAAAACTGTGTGCGGCTCTGACTTTTTATACATTATACACAGACCCTCACATCAACCTTTGGATACTTTTGAGCGTGGATGCAGTAATAGAGTCTTGCCAGTTTCGCAGCACTTTTCAGTTTGATTCCGCAAAGTGCATACATATTGACAAAATAAATCAGCAAAAACAGAAACTATTAAAATGTTTGGTGAAAAAGAATGGTTACAAAAATTAAGACCTTAGGAGCTGAAAGCGAACATATGGTTACTCGTTTGCTCTTGTACTCATTCTTGAGCAATATCCCTTGCCATCTCCAATACATGGTTTCTAATATTACAGATATCTAAGGTTGGCCTGCAAAATTTGGGCTACCGATATCACATGCTGAAAATTCCATACCTGTACCGAAAAATACGGTGTGGAATCAAGCTGTAATCAAAAAAATAAAAATAAAAAATAACATTATGTACCAAAAGGATGGTTAGAAACAAAGGTATTGAACATTCCCTAAGAATGCTACCAAATATATTTATCTTCTGTGACAATCTTTTGCTTAAAAATGACACTGCATATTCTGAGTTGAAACCTAGATTAAGCTTTTTATGTATGCATCAAAAGTAAAACGATGTCCTTTCACTATTGTAACGAGTAGCTTATACATATTGCAGATATTTGTTCGCATTTTGACATCTATTGTGATTATCATGAATCATATGTTTACTGATTTATTTTTGTTCAAATTGATAATGCGACTATGTGGAGAATAGCTTTGTGCTGACAGAGTACCGTTTATGTATTGAGTAACAGGTAATAGTCGCGACAATATTCGAATTCCTGGACTCTTAGTGCAGCCCTCTATCAGCTGCATCTCTAAACCCAACATCACGGGCATTGTCTAGCTGCAAGGTGAGCGCACAACATGTAGCTATCTGTTTATCACCATAATACCTGCCAAGCTATGTCTTTTGTCAATTGTAATTGTTCTGAATTAAGAAAGTGGGTGGGGGGGGGGCAGTCAAGTTGTATCCTGCCACGATTTCGATTTTCGTTTCACTTTCGATCATCACCCTTTAAATTTTATTCAATTATCAAAGCCAGGTAGATGAAATTTCATTCTCTTCCAGAACTAAATCTCCATTATTTCATCTGATAGCATTATTATAAATTCTTGAGTGTTTTCAACAAAATCAAGTTCTTAAGAACCTACTTATTCTTTTCAGTCTATTTAATCAATAGTCCGCTGTTTCTGATCGTAGTTAGTGTAAAGGTTATCAAATTATATAAACCAATTATGCGTTCGTTTTTCGAATCTTTCCGTTTAGTTTTGATTAGATGCAGACATATCTAATGGGAATTGTTTCCCAATTTCTTTCATTTTGATAATTCAATGAATTTTTCCAGTCTTTACCCATCATTTATTTCTTGTGTAAATTATTCTGTTTATAATAGATGTTGACTTTATTGGACATCAGTTGCTGGCTACAAAAGACAGAAGTTATCTAAGTGTAATCAGGACTAATTCTTCGAAAATTAAGGACTACTGCTCTTTGTAAAACTATGATCTGTTCCAGTATATACAGATATGTTACAACATGCTTAATGAGAATATTCAAATCAGTATAAAAAATGGTAATTCCTTGTCCAAACTAGAATCCAGTTGTGCTCAAAATAGCACAAGATCATGCAGTTGTTCCCATGGCTTTCAAACATTTGACGGTATGAGTACGGAACTAAATTCAAGAAGTCTACAAAATGATACAATGTTAACTCATTCTGTTTCTGAAAGTTCTAATACTCCAAGAAATGCTGAAATACCACATAATTTAAGTTCGTATAATCACAGTGTCCCTCAAACATTCAACTTGCCAACAAATTCTGTTCAAGAGCTCCGTATATCAGCGGTCTCACACTCCGCTTTTCCAACTCAGATCCCTGCAGTCATACCAGCTGGAGTGAGTTCCTCAAGTATACCCTTATCTCCTCTGTTGTTTCATCCACGTGGACCTTATATTCTTCCAAATCCGACTTCAGCTAATCTTTCTTCTACTCATCTGCAACCTGTTAACCATCAATTACCAAATCTACCTTTAAATACAGAATATAAAAATATTTCGCCTTCCGGTGTACTGGAAGCAACTACACACAATCCATTGCCACTTGTAACTGGTACTCTTGATGGATCAGTAACAAATTCTACCAAAACATCACCCAGTTCACAGTCAATTGGTGCCAATAAGGGTACAAATGAAAATGGCAATTATTATGTAATGGTTCATGTGGATGCTGGAGAAACATTTTCAGTGCGTGTCGGCGATCAAATTCAACATATACCTGGTAAGTCCATAGAACAATGAATCGTAGTTTTCCCGTTATTTTTTTAGTAATTTTGTAATAACTTAACTGTAGTCAGCATGTTTTACCTTTATTCTACTACAATTACTGTGAAGACATTTTTTCTATAGCTTTTCAGAAGTAAAACTGGCACATTTTTAGGGATCATAGAAAGTGTGGCTGTATGAGTAGCAAAAGCATTTTGTTTGCTTATCAGCGATCAACGGAATACTTTTCAAAGTGTTACTTCTGTCACCACATTCTCTAAAACCAATCATAACACTAGGTTGCCGAAATAAGAAAATCGAATTTAGGTTAAAATTTATGAATGTTTGCGTTTCTTGCTGATCCATAGTTTTATTATTTTTTACGAAGATCAGTAAATTTAATTTGTGGGTCATCCATATTGAACTTTTCTAGAGACACCTCATGCTGGTGTTATCACAACAAGACTAATAAATGTCAAATCACCAAATAAATCCCAAGTAAACAAATCTTTTAATGATATGATGCTCATTATTAATTGATTTAATGCCATATTCACATTGTTCTCACCAAAGTTGCTTCTTACAACACTAAACTGTGGGATTCTTTCCCACCTGGTTTTGGTACAGATATTCTTAGGCTCTTTCTCTCTCTCTCCTTCTTTCGATGATTTCTCATATAATGAAGCTAAACTTATTCTCTTCAAGTGTCATTTTCCATTTAGACCGGTAACATATTTCTTTAGGTGATTATTCATCCACCTGAGCTACCAATCTCCTCCACCATATCTATTCAGGGAATGCAAAGAACCCAATAAATGAATTTTTGTAACTAAGATAACAGATGCAGTGATACGCTCAAACGTTTATATGCTATAGATAAATGCATTTTGTTTGGTGTGCTTGCTAGATATTTCCTCTAATGAGTGATACATCCACAAAACCTCGAAATCGATGGAGTTACATATATGATTTCCCGTTATAAAAGAATACTACTTGTGTCATACAGAAGCAGAGAAATATTCTAGGATGAAGATTCGGTCTCTACATCTATCCAGGTTTGAAAACTGCATATATGTCCCAAAATGTGTTATATATCTCTAAATTAATACCACATGGTTATAAAATTGGGAAATTGTTGGTTGGTGTATTTTTCACTAACTGTCACAAAAAGATTTTCCCATTCCCTTAGCCTCAGTCGCTGATAAAATTTAGTCACAGGAAAATTTTTTTTATAACCCAGGTAATTTGTCAAATAGTCTGGATGATAATGTTTATTCACTAACAACTGCGCTGATGTGGTAGTTGAGGTTGCTATTGCAGTTACCCGACCAACTATGTTGGCTGGAATAAGGGTCAGAAATATCGGATGGATAGTTGTGAGACTAAAAGTGGTCACCGTCATAACACACAGTAAGGACCCAAGGCAAAGCAGTACTATTTGTAGAAAAAGGTATAGTAGCAATAAGGTATCAATCTCGAAAGTCCAGGAGACTTTAAAGTTTGCACATCCTGCCTCTTAATAGCTGTTGCTGTCTGCGTCATCTGTAGACTGGTTGCTCCAGTTAGATGTCCCATGGTTTCTACATTAATCACACATTATCATCTTTTTACTTCTAAGATAACACAAGGAAACAAGACTTCTATGATGTTGACAGTAGGGGAGTACCAACTGCCTATAAGCTTCCATCATCACATGGAACTTATCTGTTTGCCACCTATTTTCTGCATCCTCGTCCTTATTTCGATATTCACTTTCTGTTTTCATCAGTTTGGCTATTTATTTTTTTGAATATCGGTCGTCCAACTTTGGACGCAGTTGAAAAGTCTCTCTGTAGTCTCCAATGAGGTCAAGTAACAACACTTTTTATTTTGACTTTAAGAGTAGCAGAAAAGAATTATTGACTATAATAACTAAGATACTAACTAAATGGGTTTATGAGAATACACTATAGTTCTATCAGGGTAGTGAAGACTTTTGATCATCCTGGCCTATAAAAATGCAAAAACCCTTGCAATAATCATAGGTTAGTCAACTTGACTCCAAGATCAGTAGTCACATCAAGACTAAGTGGAGGCTTGGTGAAACAAATCCGTGAGAGCTATGCAGGTCTAAGGTCTCAACAGAGGTGCACTGATCAGATCTCCACCCTAAGTTATCAGCCTCCATCACTTGCCATATTTCGTTATCTAAAGGCTGCATCTGACTCCCTCAGTCGAGAGGTGTTATGGTAATGTTTAGCTACCAAGAAGCACAGTTAAGGTGTATTATTCCAATAGAACCTTTACAACCATATAAGAGTTTATGGAGATTTGTCATCTGAAGTGACACTAACAACTTGAATACCAAATGTCACCGTTCCTGTTTAATCTTATCATAAACTTATTTGGAGATATGAATCTAGTTGGCTTTGGCATCTTCGACAATAACTTGGTATCGGAGAAAAGGTTTCGTTCATTTAGAGTATGCATACTATGCATCCCTTATAGGTGGATGCCAAGGCAAAAATTTAAATATTTTTGTGTTTTTCTGTTACCATTTGTTTGATGATGCTTGGATTCTTGACCTAAGTATAGGGAGCAAAACAGTCGAATGTGTTGATTATCCCACTCATTCGGGTGATTGTTTCAGCACTGGTGAATTGGTTTTTGATGAAATCAAAGCCAGTTCGGGACCTGCCGGCTTGTATCGTCGTTGATACCAAATATGTGTCCGGTAAGGGACAGTACACTGCTCAGCAGTCTGCTCTGTTTTGTGTTCTGGCTGCGAAGGATGACCACTGAAGTTGGAAGACGTGAAAAGCCTACAGGTTTCAGACTTTAAGCGCCTTGATCCCTTTGGTCACGTTTGATGGGAGAACATAGCAAGTAATGTTGACATAAGACGTAGAGTAAGGTTAGGCAAGTTAATAGGTGAGGTTGTGAGTGTTTATTGATTGAGGTTTATTAATTTTGATTTGACACTAGTAACTAGCGTGATGCGTCTAGTCCTCTCTTTGGTGCAGACTGAATTCTATCAGTCAGGTTGTAATGTGGCCACCATTCTAGGTAGCTCGCCATCACGGTGTACATTATTTGTGATGATATTAGATGGTTGGAGGCAGTCGGCAGGAAGCCTTGGACCTAGGTTTCGTGCTGGTTGGCACTCTTCAGCAAGGCGTATCTGCAACGTTGAAGGAACTCATGTTCCTTCTGAGATTCGAACCCGCGTCACCCAGTGCTGCAGTCAGAGACATTACAACTGAGCTAATCGGGCTCGTGATTACCTCCTGTAGACTGTAGTGATATTTTGATTTGACACTAGTAACTAGTGTGATGCGTCTAGTCCTCTCTTTGGTGCAGGTTTACTAAACCTGTATTACTGATGCCAAATCATCACCTTCCTCGAAATGCAGTGTTAACTGAAGTTGGATGGATCTGGAGAATAATTAGGAGTGATAAGATTGAAATATTGTAGCACTAATTTTATCTGACAAGAAAGTTACGAGCTACCTGTCGGCGTCTTTGGAATATTGCGAATTAATATTTATAGACTCTTGGTGAGATGAATAAAAATCTATCACGGTAACTCAGAATTTTTCTCTTTTTATGTACTGAAATCCTAAAAACTTCACTTATCGCTTGCTTCTCTCTAGTAGAAATAGGTGTTTACATTTTAACATAAGGACATTTCTATTCTCTTTTATCATGTACACTTCACTGAATATTTTCAATTTGAACTGATGAACTAACTGTCCGAATTCCTAGGTTAACATATCTATCTTTATCTATTTGTCAATGGTTTTCATAATTTGGTAAATTTTTGCCATTTATTGTGAAATGGTGTTCCAGTAAGAGTATTAAAGTGATCAGCTAGTAAAATATTCGTCCAGTTATCGTGTTCACTTAATGCGATGCAGAAAAATTGATCGAGTAATGCAGTAGATATAAAAATAAAGGGATTAGAACGGAGAGAATAATTACACTTTCAGTGTATGCTTGAAATTAATTGATGATTTTTCAAAATAGCTCTTTGCATAAAAGTGTACCAGTTCAAGTTACTACACTTAGTAAACCACATATAAAATAGTAGGAAGGAAATGTAGTGGAATTAAAATATGTGAATTTTGTAACGGAGTATTCATAATTCGTCGGGTTTCGTCTATTTTGACTACAATTCGCCTCCAGATACAACACTCTAATCAACTGTTCACTTTGAAAATATTCCCCCAAACTTGCATAGACCACAGAAGACAGTTTTAACTGTGACAACCACGACAACAACAACCTTTTATTATTCACAATACAGAGTATGTATATCGTTTACACATCAACAGAAATTTAAAATACAAACAGACAATCAATATCTGATTGACTGCACGACCTTGAAGAACCTCCAAAACAAATTAATCAAAAATTCGCGAAAAATACCCATTAAGACATTGAAATAAGAACAAATTAGTTCAGCGAAGAGTCTCTTTTCGGCGAATTCATTCACTTAGCTGTACAGTCGCAAATATATACAATTAATTTTGTGTGTGTGTGTGCTGGCTGATATTTTCATGGCAAGTTTGGAAAACGGTCCGCTGAAAGCAACCATCGACAAATTCTTCTTATACAAAAGGTATGTTGATGATACTTTCGTCATCTGCGATAACAATTGTGATCAAAATATTGTTCTTCAAGTTTTCAATAGTTGCCACCCCGCCATCAAATTTACAATCGAAGTAGAAACCAAAGAGACAATCTCCTTTCTGGACGTTCGTTTAAGTAAGAAGACCGATGGTACCTTGAACAGATCAGTACACAGAAAACCTACATGGAACGGTCAGTTGACAAACTTCTACAGTTGGGTACCAATTAGTCGCAAGCGAAACTTGATAATATCTCTGGCGACTAGAATCCGAAAAATCTGCAGTCCTGAATCAATAGAGGAAGAGATCGCCCTCTTAAGGAAGACACTGCTCGAGAATGGCTACCCACCCCGTTTTATAGACAAGCATATTAAGCCTAAGACTTACAAAGAACAACCCATTACAG